GAGAGCACCAGAGAGGCGATGCAAAAGCACCTCGCAGAGTGCCATGCTGGGTACTTCACGACGCTGGGCGAGCAGTTCCTCTGCCCTTGGGAAGGTGGCTGCGAAAGCAAGACCCGGACAAAAGAGCCGAGAACGCTCACGGCCGCTAGTGCGCCGAGACACATGCAGATACACTTCGAGGTCAACACGGTCATCTGCCCTGATTGTGGTCAAGAAGTCGAACGTGACGATGGCTTGAAGCGGCATCGGCGCCTTCGACACACTGCAGGAGCAGCGCCCCAGGAGACGGTCGAGGACGGCACAGAGACGGTAAGTGGAGTAGAGGAGGAATCGGAAGATGGGATGGAAGTGGACACAGAAGCTGAGATGGGCGAAGGGGCCGTGTACGAGGACGGCGCGGACTAATCTGGACGTCTTTTGAAGATCGTCTGGATCTGCGGCTAAGCCGGAAGTCGCGCGTGGAGCGGCGCAGGGCTCGCGGAAGCCCTAGTTACGACGGCTGGTCAGTCTCATTCTATCCTTGTCAGTGTTTCCTCCATCGATCGCCCACCCTTCCCTTGCTTTCGACTTTGTACTTCGTTTTGTTCCCTGATTTCTGTAGTTGTCTGTTTGTAATCCCTGTACTTTCCTCGTTACATATGGGTGCTATGTATATCGAGCTGCTATCTGGATGTCCTGTATTTATTGGTTAGTGTACACGAGCTCCCGCTGAAATAGAGTTCATCTTGTGGATTGGATTGGATTGGATTGGATTGGATTGTGTGAACTAGATGGTACTGCCATATTGAAGTCATGCTCTCGTCAGTGTGGGCGCATGCACAGCATTAAGCACCAAGTGTCTCATTCAAACGATGTTTTAGCGGAATTTGCAGGTGATTTTCGTATATGTGACATTGCTCGTAAGGTCGTTACAGGACACTTTTACCCGGGCCGGAACTCGCTACATCAGCATGAACCCTCTCGCAATCGAAGCACTCAGCAACATAGAGGTGTCCACTGAGTCGCGCAGCGTGATGTGGCAACGATGGGCAGATAGAAGCCTTCACGCCCGCTAGTGCGGGTTCAAGTGACGTTCTCGACACTAAGTCGTGAAAGTCGTCGTACATAGCGTTCTTGGAGCCTCGAAATTGCATGGGCTAGTACAGCGATGATCCCGCCGTAGAGTTTCGCCTTCAGCCATGTTTGTGGATATACTTCAGGTGTGAATGCGAATTTAACGCGAAGAGAACGCGGTGGACGCGCGTCGAACGCGTCCAGTGCCACAATTTGACGCATGGCCACGGGCGCGTCGCTGGCAAAGCAAATTGATCACCGACTCCTTTTGCCGCGACGACGACCTGCTGGTGCTGCAGATCAGCTCTTGATCCACATGGATCCACAGAGGTCTTAGACACTATTGATTCTTGACTTGCATGGCACTTGAATACCTTGAGAACCATTACGTGGCGATTACGTCCGACAGTCAATGACATCTGGCGTGTTCAACTTCGAGGTCTTGCGCGCAGCGCAAGTAGTGCTGGCCCCGACAATGCACGGACTCTGCCCTGCGAGACAGAGTCGTGTCCGCTCTGAGAATGCCCTCGTAAATTCACCAAGAGACTTCGGGGCATCCATAGATCGAACGCCCGACGAACGGCTCCTCGGAGTGCCACGAGCATTGACTGAGGTTGTGGGCTCATCACGCTCTGCAAGCGCATCCAATCTTGGTGTGTCCATCTTCCGATGTCCAATTACGTGAGTTCACAATATAGGGCTCCTAAAACCCCCTTTAATACGCACCTCGTTCATCCCAGCGAGCATCACCGCGCACTGTATCTGCTCATGTTCTCGAGACTCCGCATTATGAATATTTCTCGCCATTGATGTTCACGTTCGCTGACATGACCACGCTGCACCCAGCGGGGGAGGGTATCAGTGACAGGAGAACGTTAGTGCCCAACAGATACCCTCTTCAAACGCAGGCGATCTGGGTAGGTAATCTTCCTACCAGCATCTCGCGTACGTCTGAAGGGGATGCGTAGTTGAGGACTAACGGAACTTGTCGTCAGACAACTAAGCAAATTCGCGCTTCAAGGTGTCTCTGACATCTGTTGAAGCTCGCTGAACATAGCGACATCCAGACAGATGGCATCTACCACTTGCCGACCAGCTACCCTCCGGGCTATACTGCAGGAACTCAGAACACGTACATTTTGTCCAAGGAAACACTTGTTTCAGGCGAATCGTCTATCAGCTGGGCCCAAACAGCATAGTTAACTCTTGATCTTCCAGATAATATAGAGAATCGGCTAAGAACGAATTGGTCTCTGTCGTACAAAGTAGTCCCCTCGTCGATATCCAGAAGCTATCCTGACGCACGGGTTTGTCTACAGCACTGCGTTCTGGGCAGCGCCATGATCGATCAAATGATCAGGGCTCGCTTGAAGCTCGTCTTCGCTCGATTCAGAGCATCCCTTCATGGCCGATGATGCACAACACACGTCGAGCGTAAGGGCGTATGAGGAAACAATGCATCACGCACCCTCACGAAGAATAATCTAGGAAACTAGGACAATGTAGACGACGAGTGGCACAAGTGAGCACCGGCTGGTGCTACTCCGGAACCCGATCTCAACCACGCTGTGGCGACACTCTCGGTCCCCGCGATTGTGACGTGTCCCGGCGAGTTCCTGGCTTCGTGGCTCTGTGGCCAGGACGCGTTCGCGTTCTTTGGACGAGTTTGTCTCCGCGCGGCGGGTGGTTCGAGCGGCAATTTTACCTGCTCCGATCGATTATCCTATTGTCCTCGATCCCTCTACCAATCCTGCCCTCTCCCCATCGCTGCACACAGAATGTCCCTCAACATGAACTCAGAGTTCATTAACTTCATCGTCATCGATTCTCTCAACCCCAGCTTCGAGCTTGCGCTAGAAACATGCCCAGTTAACCAGGTGCCACCCTCGCCGTTCGATGAAGGCGCATCCGAGTCGATAGGTACCCAGATGTACCGTCGACTGCCCGAGGTCTGGATGGCCGAGCCATCCCGTCCTATATACAACCCTGATTTTGTACTCGGGTTTGTAGCGCTTCTGGTGATTCATGCCACAGCAAAAATTGACATGTCAACAACAGGCTAGTGATGCTTGGGATGTCGGAAGCGGGTTTTCCAGTGGGCTCAGCACCCATTCCGAGCATCGACAGCTCCGATCTTCGGGGGGCTACTCAGTCCGCTCATCGAGCCGGACTAGATCTCGAGTAGGTCTCTCAGATCCGGAGTTTGTAACTCTAACTGACCCTTCCATCGCAGGCGATCGCCGTCCCCCTCGGCTCTCGCTGCTTGCCGCCCATGCAGATCCCAAAGCGTTTCGTGCGTATCCTTCTTGCCTTCTCGGATCTGCAAGGTGGCGTCGGTATTAACCCTATCTGGCAGGTCCTCGCCGGGATCTGCAGGGCCATCTGCAGGCACAGACGCTGCGAATCTGTGGGCGCGGCACTCACCAGATTCGGGATATGCGTGAGTGTTGTTTGGGTTAGTTGGTGGGTGTGTCTTATATCTGGCGACAGTTCTGGCTCGTCCTCACCGGTACCGCGAGCACGCTCGACGGGCGCGGTCCGCACTTCCCCCCGGCTGCATCGGGCATCCCGACAGTATGTTTCTCTTACAGTTCTTGATTATGGACAATTGTTCATTTATATTCAGGACTCCTTACTCTCGTCGGAGAAGCCAGGTGGTCGAGGAAACCTCGTTAGGCGGACCGTCATCTTCTCGCAGGTACGTTCAGATCTGCTCTATATCAGTAGCTGGTTCTCATTACTTCGTCTTTCCAGCTCAGTCGACGTGACCATGGGTTCCCGGTCTGTCCCTTGCCGCGTTCCTGGATGCGGGGAGCTGGTCTCTCCAACGAAGGACAGTGTCGACAAGCATCTTCGGTCCCACAAGCAAGACTTCGCTGCATTGACCGAAGTCCAAGGAACCATCAAGGTCAAGTGTCCGTGGGAAGACGGCTGCGCGACGGAGCCCATGGGGAGAGAGAATCTGTCGCGACACATGCACAAGCACTTCGGAAGCAACAAACATGAGTGCGACATCTGCGGTGCTGTGATCAGCCGGGCCGAGACGCTCAACCGGCATCAACAAAGCCAGCATTGCCAGGCCGTGGCAGCACAGCATGCGTCAGACGAAGCGCAGCGCAGCGAGCGTTCTGCCTCACCGCTGTGAATGCGCTGCTGGTGTTCTGACCCCTCCTTCGCCTCCTTCGGTCTCCCCCCGACAGTGGAATGTTGCTGCTAGCAACACCCCGGCATCATCGTGCCTCACTGGTTGTGTTTTGTTATCGTGATGCTCAAGAAGCTGTATTCGCTCTGATACTGTGTTCTCAGATTGTCCACCCTGCTTTGTTTGTACTCCTACTGTTTTTTGCTGTCGCGTTATTAGTTTGCTTTGTAGTCTACCATGTTGTAGAGCATATGAGGGCTGTGTGCTACCTTATCTATTGTCACTGTCTCCTTGCTCTGTGTGTGTATTTTGTAAAACTGATGTGATGTCTTTGTATTAGATGTATAGCTCATGAGTGTAACAGTGTGACCTCAGACTTGCTTTACTGGACTGCCTTTGTTAACTCGCAAGCTCAAACATCTGCCACTCAACGGTAACATTCAAACGAGAGGCGCTGGCCTGCGTCGTCTCGCCCGCAGTTTGACATTTCAATGTCAGCATGCTGCTTGAGCACATCTGGAGTAATACGAAGCAGTATCGGGCATTCTAGAACAGACGTCGAAAATAAATGAGATTGCATAATATAACGTCACGAGGGGATCAGCTTCCGCAGTACCATATACACTTCCGCACGTTCGACCTGTGACATGGTCTGTCACTGAAGACAGTGGAGAATGCGGCTAAAGCATGTACCATAACTGTCAATGATTTTTTCCACAGAAGAGAGACTCACTGGAGAAGAGATTTTCAATTTGTCTCGTCAGGATGTCGTGCGTGTTGAATTAGTCTGCGCACACCAAAATATACACCGATGGTGAAACGGTATCATGCTTGCCTTCCACGTTTGGAATATGTAGTCTCGCGAGCAAGCGGCGCGGGTTCGACTCCCGCTCGGTGTAATCTGCTGCTAAGTAATTTTTTTCTTTTGACGCAGAGGGCCCCGAACCTCGTGCAACGTTGAACGAACGCCGCAGAATTCACCAATGAGTCGCCACTACATTAGACTACATTAGACCATTCATGAGTTTGCTGAAGTGCGCGTATTGCCGCAAATATATTCAATACGAGAATGGACTAACATTCGGACAATACCAATGCCTCCTGACATCCATTTATTATCATTCTTGTTCTGTGTACGCTGGGGGAAGTGACATAGAATCATCTATGTGCGAGTCCGGATTGGACGTCGGTGCTCTTTCTCTCATTTCCTGTGTGACCCTGCTCGTTTTCCCATTTAATCGCAGTTGCGCTCCTGCACGTTTTTCGGTCGTAGATCGATGATTCTGCAGCAGAGAAGAAGTGTCTCTGGCGGTCTCCCCCGTGTTTGTTGGCTCGTAGCTCTCGGACACTACGTTCACACCTATCGCAGCCGTTGGGGTGCCGCTGAGCACAGTCGATCCATAGGGCTGTGAGTCATCTGCATGAATGCATACGCATCAGAGCCTGAATGGCCGTTCCACCCACAACATAGATGTGGATGTGTGGCAAACGCACCTTCTCGCAGGAACGGCTCTGCGCGCCATGTAGGGTCGGATGGTCCATTCCGGCGTGTCCTCCGTCTCCACAACCTCCATATTGCGAGAGATATGCAGGCGGATGCGATGACGGCACCGATCACAATTCCCACAAGGGCACCTTTGCTCAGGGACTCCGTCGATGGGCTAGACCCGGAGGCGGTTCCCGCAGACTGTGTCGCGGGTGGTGGACCTCCGGGGCTACTGGTTGGCTGTCCACGCATCAGAAGGGGGGCATGTAACAGCAAGGAAACGTCGGACTGACCGTGCCAGCGACAGAATTCGGCGACGACAAGTCCGGGACCGTGACTTGCAGCCTGTCGAGGAAGAACCACTCGCCGTGGTTCGTGACCTGCAACGAATGTGTCGCATCCTGGAGCGCCGCAGACGAGTAGAAGGAGACGTTGTAGTCGATGGCGGGGATGTTGTCATCGCGCACCCATGCCGACACCGGCCCATTGTCGACGGAATACGTGGAGTTCTCCAGCCAGACGCCAGGCGGGCCTCTGGCGCCGTATACCGCGATCTGAGTCCCTAGGTGCAGAGATAATGACTGGGGCCAACCCACACAACTGGAGGGCCCGAAGACGAACCTACGAAGGAGAACGACGCCTGGCAATCTCCTGTGGCGTTTTTGCATAATGTGAGAGTATTATTGAATCCTTGGGTATTATTAGCGGCGGTATGGTTCGATATCCGAGCCCAAGGCCCTGTGTACACTATACGGGGGTCGGTATCGTCGACAATGAGGACTTCCCCGAATGCGAAACTGATGTTGAGCAGGATAATTAGTGCTCCGCTGACAATAGAGAGCATTCCTGTGAAGTGTGGAGTAGAGTGGTTGAGAACGCAAGTCAGCCCCTCACGACAATAAATAGTTGAAACAGCGCCGAATGCACTCGCCTTTCGTAAGGTTACAGCGTCCTCAGGTGCGCCTGCGGGCTGCCACCATCATTGGAGAACCTGTCGATGTAACTATGTAACACTGAAATGTCAGGTCTGGCCTTCACTAATTTTGGAACAGATTGCACAGGTGCTTCCGCTCATCAGCCACATCGCCGCTGGCTTGACAGGTTGAGGGCAAGGGAGTACCACACGTTGATGCACATGTATCCATTTGGATCGGCTCTTCATCGCCTTATCTCACGCGTGGCTGCGCAGTGCTCACATCGCACTGATTGGGAGCTCGAGACGCGGCGGGTACCCTTCTTCGAGCGTGCTGGACCTGATGATCGTCGTGGTCGACATCTGCGTGCAGACATGAGCGACCGGTCTTGACTGGAGGGCAGACTTGCATACATGCGGCCAGTCATCCAGATTCCAGATCAGAACGGATATCCAGTGTACTGTGCATGCCCCGCGTGCTCTTACATCGCCGACATCCTTGTATAAAGGGATGCGGGGCGCGACAAGAAACAGGACATTGCGCGCGGCGGCGGCGGTCGAGTTGCGTCTCCTCAATAATACTTCTACTTGGCTCCACTTCTATGCGGCTCTACGATGTCTGGAACAAACTACTGCTACTGCGCCCGCAGCGCGCCCATGACCGAGGGTATGCTCACAAGCGGATGGCTAGTCGCGTTTTATTCTACTTCGGGACAATCGATCCTAAGAACACCGTACCACCCATTCTACTTCAACCTACATATAATAAGTGTAAGTGCTCCTCCATCCGTCGGCGCACTGGTACCTGATCATATCCCGAAGACAGAACGTGCGAATTCAACAACCGCCATTCCAGTAGCAACGATCCCACCCCCAGCACTCGCACCTACAGCTGCGGCTCCACCACCCATCGTAAGGCTCTGCAGGCCCGCAAACATAGAGCCGGCGACGACGTTCCCGATGCTTGCCTGCCATGCTGCGGCAAATGTACCTGCATGTACGCGCGTCGCTCAGATCGCTGCCGATGAGGTGCATCCCCCGGAGGCGCTCACCTGCGACTGGCCCCACGGCGCTAAACCCAACCGCTGCGAGCAACGAGGGGAAGATAATGGCGCCCATTATCATCCCCACCATGATCGGAGCGTACGGCGCGGCGGACTGAGCGAGGGGCACGACGGATTGCCAAACGCGGGCAGCGCGGACAGCCAGTCTGATGCCTTGGGAAGCGACTCCGGCCGGGGGAGCCGTAGCGGCGGACACGGCCGTCGTGGCGGATACAGAGGCAGAGGACACAGCGACACGGGTGAAGACTACGGGGCCAATTGCGCGGAACGCGAGCGGGCCGAACACGAGCGCGGCGGGAATCACATAGGGAGCGGCGGCCCGGATGACAGGTCTGGCGGCCTCGGCGGCCGACGCGACGTACGAGCGCATCGCTTGCGCTGCAGAGCGGAGAGCACGCGCTGCGGGTGCGAACCAGGAGGTGACGGCTCGGAATGCAGAGTTGGCTGCTCGGGCGACCGGCGAGGGGGCTCGCGCGGGCGGGACTGGGGCCTGGGTGTCCGACGGCTGGATGCACCGCCGCCTGTTTACCTGTGTGGTGACGCCCGCGTGCTGGAAGACTATCACACGGAGCGGTATGTCGAGTTCTGGCATCACTTGCGACACGTCTGGGGGATTTGGTCAGGTCAAGAGTTCTGGCGGGCAACGGGGGATTATATGCTGTGATTCGAGCTTCTTCGCGGCGAGCTGTCCGATTTACGGCCGCGCATCTCTTCGATCACCGGATCGCTCGGCAGATTCGATACATCAATGCTCCCCTTTACGTCAAGCCACCCTCTACAAGGTCTCATACACTCGCTTGTCGGACTCTCTGAACAGGCCTGGCCTAGGAGCTGCCAAACCACGCTGGTGACAGAAGGACGCGTGTACTTGCAACGGGTAGTGGGACAGCGAGAGGGTGGTAGAGACAATCAGCAGATAAGCGCGATAGAGACGAAGAAGGTCTGTATGCTCGTAACATGTGCTACGGGCTTCTTTCGTTCAAGGTTCTGTCTGGCAAGGCTTCTATCGCAACTGGCTGCCCCTCAATACTTATAGTACATCACGCGAAACGGCTGGTCCGCGCTTTGCAATATACATAGCAAGATGTAGATGCGTACCATCAGCTCGAAGCTCGCTACTGGCTAGGTCGAAAAATCCGGACTCTGGTGTGCAGACAAGAGCGGCACGTTCATATTACGCTGATTCAGGATCGCCTGTCCGCACAACTGTTACCGCTCAATACAGTCCGAACATGCATCTAGTATCGAACGCGGCACTCAATCCATTCACCAGCCAAAAAGCTTCGCAGCGATCACCCCCGCTGCAGATACTCCGCCGCCGACCGCCGCCGCCGTGCCCGTCATCCCTGCGCTCTGCAAGGCCGCAAACAGCGATCCCGCAGCGACGCTCCCAACGGACGCCTGCCACGCTGCGGCGGCAGACCCTACGCACGCGGCACTCAGCGAACCATCGCGGTCGGGATTCGAAGAACATACCGGCAGCAGGGCCTATGGCGGTGAACCCGACCGCACCGAGGATCGCGGGCGCGGCCACGGCGCCGATCACTCCGACAGCCGCGACGGGCGCGACGGCTGCGACGACGGGCATGGCAGCTTGCACGGCAGACGAGGCTGCTGCTGCTGAGGCGGCGGAGCCGACTGCTGCGATGGCGGGTGCGGCGGTGTGGGCGATGGTGGCGCCGGCTGCTGAGAGGACGGGGCCGACGGCTTGGATGGCGGGCACTACGGCCGCGGCGATTGGGGCTAAGTATCTGGGCATCGGGGGTGTGAGGGTTTGCAATGTGTGCTCTGTCGTCCGAGGATGGTGGAAAGAGGCTTATATGTCTGTTATTGGAGCCATGGGCTACTGAGATATAAGCATCCGTCTGTTGCAGAGGCTTCTATGACAGCTAACCGCATGTCCATAGTAGCTCGGGCCGGACAGCCTGTGCAGTGGCTCTCCGTAGCTCGCCCGGCGTCCACTGATCAGAAGCCGATATCATCCCTTGTACCCTCGAGATCCAAATGGATGGCTTCCTGCCTGAGAGCGGTAAGGCGAGTTCTGGCGCCCATTGTTTACAGCAGAAGCATTCGGAGCGGTTTGTCGAGTTTTGGCATCATTTGTGACATTCATCCACGAGGCGTTCAATTCTTCAGGTCCAGGCCAGCTTTGGATATATGCTGTGGCGCTCGGCCTGTGTTTTCAGAGGAAGATTCTGCGTCTCAAGGTGTCTGCTTCTGTCCGACGACGTTTCTATCACAACTGGCCGCCTTCCAATGATGGTACATGACGAAAAAGGTGCAGGAAAGTATGACAAGAGCTAATATCACAACGTCGACTTCGCAAAGTGAAAAAAATAACCTTTTGAAGACACGAGACACTTCTGGCATCTATTTCTATGCAGAATAAGCTGTTCGATGTTCAAGAGGCTGTCGGCTCAATCTCCGCCGGACTGG